ATTAGATCGCAATGAAGATAAAGTTTAAGGAAATAAAACAAAGAGTTGAAACAACTGAAGGAAAATTGGTTCCCGGATTGGAAAAGTCCATACATTGAAACAAGAGTACTGCCAAAAGAGTGTGTTGTACTTGGGACACATCGAAGGGAATATCCTTAAAATAACTGTCAATGCAAATGCATCCAAAAGGTACGATGTTGGATCCTCTATTTAATATAAATATTCTCCGGTTGGGATGAAGAAGGCTTTTAGTCTCGCTACCCAAACACTATCAACCCTTTGCAAACCCTTTGAGCCATTTACTTTTCTTTGATTACCCTCTTTGGAACCTAAAACTATTATTGAAAAAAAAACTTCAAAAAAAAGTGAAAAAAGAGAAGAAAAAGAAAGATAAAAAAAAGAAAAAAGGATGAAAATACAAAGAAAATGAAATGAGAAAAAAATGAGGAAAAGGAAAGGAGAAAGAAAGAGGAAATAGAAAAATAAAAGAAAATCCAAAAATAAAGTTTCCTGAACTACGTTCGACTTGATTCCAAAAGGATACGTTGACAGTCTCTCTCTGGGGTTTAGTCACACCAAAACAAAAATTCAAATTCCCCCAAAAAGTGAAACTGGGGCAGATGCTATAATGTTTCGGCAATGATTTAGCCTGAAAGGTTCCAAAGTTGTAATTCAATCCAAATCATTTTTACCCAAATCCTCTCAAGTCCTTCTGACCAATCAGCGAGAATATTCAAGGATTGGAGAATGCAACTACTTGGATCCGATGCAATAAAAGCGGAGAAATAAAATGAGAGAGTCTTATTGGTGAAAACCCACACGGGCACCGTGAGGTGACAGTAAGCAGAGAAACTAGAAATGAGAGAGTCTTATTGGTGAAAACCCACACGGGCACCGTGAGGTGACAGTAAGCAGAGAAACTAGAAATGAGAGAGTCTTGTTAGTGAAAACTCGCAAAGAGCACTATAAGGCGATGGTGAGAAGAGAAATAAGAGTGGTCAGCTAGTGAAAACCCGCAAAGGGCGCCACTGATCGAAAAGAAGATCCTCACAACCATCGGCATTGACAGAGTCCTGGCAATGTTTCTTGATTTTGAGGCAAAAAATATGATGAATTTTTGAGAGTCGGAAGGTTTACATGGGTCAGGCATCCAGTCCAAAAGGCATGTCATGTTCATTTAAGTCCGCATGTAGTCTAGATAAGTCCTTCTTTCTTTTCCCCAAAAGGGACACTTCTTGTTTTAAACTCATTCTCCATTCCGTTGTTTGTTTTCTTTGAATTCGTTTCCGTCTAACTATGTTATGAAACTAAGACAAAGAAAGGTTGGTAAGACTGATTTACAGGGTTCTCATTTGATACAAGCTAATATGTGTAAAGGCACCCGGCCTCATCGGGGCATCAAGTCAACCTCGACCGGCCATGGCGGCTGATGTTTTGAAATTGAAAAACTCCTGAAAAGAAAGGAAATCAAAGTCAAATGCCCACAAAGGCGAAATGAAGTTGAAAAAAGGTTAAGTCCCACGTGTCTAACCGTCTCGACAGAGATTTGAAAAGCCAAGGGATCCCAAATGCTCTGAAGCTAAAGTTGGAAGAAAGAAGCCAGAAATGAAAAGGCCTATAAAGGCGAAATAAAGTTGGAAAAGGTTAAGTCCCATTGACTAGCCGTTGCAGCAAGTTTGAGGAGCCAAAAAGTTCCCCAATGCCCCAAATGTTTAAAAACAAAAAAAGAAGAAGAAAGAAAAGAAAAACAACAAGTCAAAAGTGAAGGGCATACAAAGGCAAAATAAAGTCGAAAAGGTTGAGTTCCACCGACCAACCGTCATGGCAAAAATATGGAAAAAACCAGAGGTTCTCAGGGCCTGAAATGAAATCGGTCCCTAGGAAATGAGCAGTTGAGATCTTCATCAAAGAAACCGGGCCGAGATCTAGTGATCGAAACAATCAAGGCCACAAAACCAACCACCGTTTCAAACTAACAATTATTTTTAGTTTGAAAAGTGAAACAAGTGCAATCCAAAGCAACCTTGCAAGAAGCAGGTGTAACCAAAAGAAACTGCGCAAGGGCTAGAAACAGCTTTGTAACAAAAATCAATCCAAAAGGGAAGTGTCCTCTAAATTCTTTCTCGCATTTTTACTCGTTTTTCCTAAATAAAACAAAAAAAATGAATTGAAGGGAAGAAGAAGAAAAAAATCAAAATCATGGTAGCATAGGGTCTCCAATCTCTAGCTACGTCCTTTCCAACATAGGGTCCCATTCCCTAGTCGATGCCATCATAACCTGGTAATCTTTTCCCACATAGGGTCCCATTCCCTGGTCGATGCCACCATAACTTGGTAATCTTTTCCCACATAGGGTCCCATTCCCTAGTCACTGCCAGCATAACCTGGTAGTCTTTTTCAATATAGGGTTCCACACCCTAGTATATCCCCGGTATAATCCGTGGAGATCCCCGGCATAACCCGATGACTTTTTTCTTTTCCGACATAACCCGATGACTTTCCCGTCATAACCCGTGGACCTACTCGGCATAATCCGAGGACCTTTTTTATTTTCTGACATAACCCGATGACCTTTCCCAGCATAACCCGTGGACCTCCCCGGCATAACCTGAGGACCTTTTTTATTTTACGGCATAACCCGATGACTTTTCTCGGCATAACCCGTGGACCTCTCCGGCATAACCAGAGGACTTTTTTCTTTTCTGGCATAACCCGATGAACTTTCCTGGCATAACCTGTGGACTTCCCCGGCATAACCTGAGGACTATTTTCTTTTCCGGCATAACCCTATGAACTTTCCCGGCATAACCTGTGGACCTCCACGACATAACCCGAAGACTTTTTTATTTTCCGGCATAACTCGATGAACTTTCCCGGCATAACCCGTAGACCTCCCCGGCATAACCCAAGAACTTTTTTCTTTTCCGGCATTACCCGATGAACTTTCCCGGCATAACCCGTAGACCTCCACGGCATAACCCGAGGACTTTTTTTCTTTTCTGGCATAACTCGATGAACTTTCCCAGCGAAAACTCGTGGCACTCCCCGGCATAACCCGAAGACTTTTTTCTTTTCCGGCATAACTCATGGACCTCCCCAGCATAACCCGAGGACTTTTTTCTTTTTCGGCATAACCCGATGAACTTTCCCGGCATAATCTGTGGACCTCCCCGGCATAACCCGAGGACTTTTTTCTTTTACGGCATAACCCGATGAACTTTCCCGGCATAACCCGTGGACCTCTCCGGCATAACCCGAGGAATTTTTGTCTTCTTTCCGGCATAACCTGATGAACTTTCCTGGCATAACCCGTGGACCTCCCCGGCATAATCCGAGGATCTTTCCGGCATAACCCGATCATTTTTCCAGCATAACCTGGTAATCTTTCAAACATAGGGTCTCCACTCCCTAGTTGAGTTTATTTTTAGACATAGAGTCTCCACTCCCTAGTCGCTTTTCCAACATAGGGTCTCCACGCCCTAGTTGAGTTTATTTTTAGACATCATAGGGTCTCCACTCCCTAGTCGCTTTTCCAACATAAGGTGTTCACTCCCTAGTTTAGTTTATTTTAGACATAGGGTCTCCACTCCCTAGTCGCCTTTCCAACATAGGGCCTCCACTCCCTAGTTGAGTTTATTTTTAGACATAGGGTCTCCACTCCCTAGTCGCCTCTGCAACATTGGGTCTCACTCCCTAGTTGAGATTATTTTTGGACTTAGGGTCTCCACTCCCTAGTCGCCTTTCTAACATAGGGTCTCCACTCCCTAGTCGCCTTTCTAACATAGGGTCTCCACTCCCTAGTTGAGTTTATTTTTAGACATAGGGTCTCTACTCTCTAGTCGTTTTTCCAACATATGGTCTCCACTCCCTAGTTGAGTTTATTTTAGACATAGGGTCTTCACTCCCTAGTCGCCTTTCCAACATAGGGTCTCCACTCCCTAGTTGATTTTATTTTAGACATAGGGTCTCCACTCCCTAGTTGATTTTATTTTAGACATAGGGTCTCCAATCCCTAGTTGACTTTATTTTAGACATAGGGTCTCCACTCCCTAGTCACTTTTCCAACATAGGGTCTCCACTCCCTAGTTGATTTTAGTATAGATATAGGGCTCCACTCCTTAACCTCTTTCTCCCAAGGATACACAATCCTGATTTTATTGCTTTCAATAAAGAAATAGTTTAGATTTTGTTACAATAACTCACAAAATTTTTCTAGTGAAAACTGTGGCAGAAACATTTCGTTCGTTCGTTTGCTTTGGTGCCTAAACAGGTTTTCACCATGAGGCACAAGGTTTGAGATGACCAAAAGAATAAGTCTCAACCCAAATAAAAAAAAGAAAACAAGAAAAGAAGTTGAACTCAAGGTGCAGAAGCAGAGAAAAGATGCGAACTACTCAAAATTTGATTGAAGTCACAAGCTTCGCATGTACCGCCTTGATCCGAAAAGTTGAAGGAAAATGAACCAGCGGTTGCAGCTAACGAGCATCAAGATTCAGATCAGAGTCTGCAGGAAAAACCATCCAAGACTTAAGATCAAGCTTCAGAAGATTTATAGATAGGAATCTTGTAACTCGTAGTTGATAGGCTTAGCTAGTTCAGCGTTTTATTTTTTCATTTTGGTGTAATAAAGAGCTCAGCAAGCAGCAACAACAGCAACAACAGTGAAATCACAGTTTCTCGATAGTCCTAGCTACCAAAACTCCAAAACTACACCGACCTGATTCCTTTATAGCCAATGATACGTAAGCAACCTCCGAAGCAAGGTTCAGTCAAACTTTTTCAAAATGCTTCGCATGGAGTTTCAAACGGGCAAAAATCCCTCATAATTGCTTATTTTGTCTTTGCCCGAAAATCCTTCGTATTTCCGAGAAAAGAGGAGCAGCTGTGAGCATGTGATTTTTGCCCTATACGAAATACTCCTATAATTCTTTCAATTTTAAAATCAAAAAAAAAAGAAAAAAAAAATTCGGCTTTCCTCATTATTTGATTTTGGGTTTCAGTATGAAGTTGGTGATGCCGAATGGTATTTGATTTTCTCTGTTCGAGATCTAATTTTGAGATTCAATATTAAGGGCTGTGAAATCCGAAGGTGCTGCTGCTTTTCTCCATGTGAGTTGTTGATCTTCATCTTAAAGTTTTGGACCTTTATTTGGTCTTCTACCCTCTCCTATTATGTATGTGAGGTAAACATCTACTGCCTCAATTTTTCTTGTCTTGTTGTTTGTTTGTTGATGTATTGAATACTGTGATGAAATGCATTGGATTGTAAATCTTGTTGTGATATTTCTTTTACTGCTTGAATTGAATCTGGCCATTACTTTTGCTTTTGGTATAAGAGTTCTGGGAATTCCAAATTGTAAATGGAATGAGAAATGCGTGCTAGACAAATTGGAAATTGAAATAGGCATGGACATAGAGGTTATATCTTTTTGAATCTGTAGTTCTAGTGGAAATTTTTGATTGTGTAGTACTCATTTAATTTTAGCATTTAGTGGTCAAATGTGAATATTAAGTTTATTGGCTGGAAATCCATGAACTATTTAGAAAGTAGTCACTTCTTTTAGTTAGGATTTGGGACGTGGTTTACCCGAATGGGCCTACTCAAAGACCATTTAGAAAGTAGTCATGCCTAAAAATTATCGGGTCCTAATTGTATTTGTTGTTATTCATGAGTGGGCAGTACATCCAAAGATGTGAGATTATACTACGTTGAGGTTTTCCCCTTTTATCCCAATTGCTCATTTTTAATCAACTCGTGATTTTTCTTCTAATTTGCTTGGTGAATTAATCGATTCCCCAATTTCTATTATTTAACCTTACACCATGTTTGCATTATTCCATAACATTCAAACTTCTTCATGTGATCCCAAATTTAGGATGAATAATTAATGAATATCATAGCTTGCTTTAGGCGCGATTAAATAAATCATCATGGCTATGGGTACGATTCCCATGGCATAGTCGTGATACATAATTCCCAAATCCGAGTGTGCGTTTCATGTAACTAGATCATAACAACTTCGAATAATAAAACCCTTTGAAATTAATTGAGGTGTGCCATGCCAAATAAAACCCCTAAGCCCATGGCCCTCATAAAACTAGTTAACTCTTTAAAAAATCGAGGTGTGCCATCAATTGAATTTTCCATGACCCTCGCGATCTTTGTTATTAATTTGAACTTTCGTAATCGTTTTAGGCACGTTCTTTAAATTGATTTTCTTTTAATTACTAATTTTGGGTGTGCATTTCATGTGACCCAATTTCGATTCTTAACAATGTTAGATAGAACAATTCGCGAACCGCGGGTGCATTTCATGTGGCGTGGTTCATGGCATGTTTTAAATAACGTTGAATCTTCCTAAAAGCATTTTAAAAATAACTAAAAGCGGTTAATAAGCTAAAAATGCACCATAGGCTAAAACATGTAATAAATCAGATACTATGCCAATTTTAATAGTTTAAGCGACTGTGCTAAAACCACAGAACCCGGGAATGCCTAACACCTTCTCCCGGGTTACCAGAATTCCTTACTTAGAATTTTTGGTTCGCAGACTTTAAAATGAAAGTCGAATTTCCTCGACTTGGGATTTAAAATAAACCGGTGACTTGGGATACCAAATAAACTATTCCAAGTGGCGACTCTGAGAAATAAATAAAATAATTCCATTTCGAATAATGTCACTTTAATTGAAAAAACTCCCTTATATACCCCCTCGGGTGGTAAAAAGGAGGTGTGACAGCTCTACTACTTCTGACCTGATTATGTTGACCGAGCTGCCTGGATCCACGAGCACGCGCTTTATTCTGGTGTTGTTTGAGAGAAACGAGATTACTAGCGCGTCGTTGTGCGGTTCCATCATAGCTTCGAGATCCTCCTCGCTGAATATGAGGGTTTCTCCAAGTAAGCATTCTCGGGCTGACCCCTCCTCTGTAGCGGACGTTCTTGCTTGTTTGGACACGGGTCCTCGGGGAATGTTGGCTTCCCCAATAATCATGTGGACACCGGCCTCTAGGTCGGTCATGTCCTTTTCTCCGTCGCCTTTGAGGTTTCGGCTTCCCATTTCACTAGTCGAACCAGGCGTTTTGTCCTGAAAAAGAGATCTTTGGGTGAGAAAAAGCGTGAAAGATAACGTGCGTTTGTGCAATGGAACCAGCAAGAAAATAATCGCTATTATTTTTGGCCCCACGGTGGGCGCCAAACTATTTACCATGAAAATAGTAACAACAATTAAATTTGTAGATAAGATTCTAAAATACGTGATCTATTCCCGAGCTAGTTGTTAGAGCAGTTGATGCTGATAATAAGGAGTTTAAAGATTAAATGCAAGCTAAAACGAGATAGTAACCGAACTGAGGGGCCTGCTGCCCGTGTATAGGTCTGGTCGATGGGGGACCTCGGGGTCAACGTCAAGGTCGAGCTCAAGCTATCGGGATAGTCGGGGATGGGCTAACAGTTGAGGATATAATTAAACAAGGCTCTTCACGGCCAATACTAAGCAATACGATGAAGAACTAGTAAGAAAGCAATGAATACCAAGGTGACTTCGGGCCAGTGAGAATGAAGAAGTTAGAAAGAAGAGAGAGAGAGAGATATTATTGCACTTGTGGAGAAATAGAGCAACATCAGCCGAGTCTACAAAGTAATAGGGATCCCCTTTATATAGGAGGGGAATCCATTATGGTATAGAATGTGTTAATCATAAAAGTATGGAGATAGGATGGTTAGACATGACATCTTGAAAATAGGCCCCAGATGACCAACCATGTCAGGTTAAGCCGCGTGCCTTGGGAACCCCCCTCTCGCCTGTCATAGCTTGCTGTACCTGTCAGAATATGATATCCTTCGGACCGATATATATATATCGAGCCTCGAGGATGAGTCTCGACCTTGGCTTTGAGCTTCGAGGGGCACGACCGCGAGATGGTTCTATGATGGGGGGAATCAGGACAACAACAACAACAACAACAACAAAAATAATAACAACAATAACAAACATAACAGTAATAACAATAACAATAATTACAATAATAATAATAATAATAATAATAATAATAATAATAATAATAATAATAATAATAATAATAATATGCCCAAATGGAGCATGCGATGGAAAATACTCTATCTAGAATAACAAGTTGCAATGACCCGTCCGGTCGTTTTGAGCATTTGCATTCAGTTCAGCCGTTTGAAGTCACGAATAGCTTCAAATGGTGTATTGTGACTTGCGTGCATTGTTGGTTTTGATTTTCAAGTGGTTCCGAATTGTTTTAGAAGGATGACTCTCACTTGAGAAACTTGAAATTGAAAGAGTTGACCAAGTTTGACTTTTATGTATTTGGCCTCAAATCAGAGTTTTGATGGTTCTGGTAGGTTAGGATGGTGATTTTAGACTCGGGTGTATTCCCGTATTTGCATTTGGATGCTTCTATAAGGTTTCAGCACCATTTGGCAGAAGTTGGCAATTTAAAGGTTTGGAATTTTTTTAAGTTTGACCATAGTTTGACTTTAAGGCTATCTGGTTTGGATTTTGGTTTCGAGGCTTGGAATAGGTCCGTTTTGTTATTTTGAACTTGCCTGCAAAATTTGGTATCATTTGGAGTTGGTTTGATGTGGTTCAGACGCTTGGTTGCAATTCTAGAAATTCTTGAACTTCATTGTGATTTTCATACGTTTTTGTGTATGAAATGTGGTTCTAAATGTTATTTTTATGATTTGACTGCTCGAGCAAGTTCGTAAGATATTTTTAGACTTGTGTAAATATTTGGGTTGGAGCCCCGGGGGCTCGGGAGAGTTTCAGATTGATTTCGGATTGGTTTTGTTAAATTTAGAATGCTGGTTCTGGTTCCATCTCAATTGTGATGTTTTAGTCGCAAATACAACAAGCGCATTTCCGAGTTCCTCCTCACTTTTTGAATTTGGGCTGCTGGGGTAGGGACTTCACATTTGCGAAATCAGGGGGCTCGTTTTTGGGACGAGCTGCTGGGTGGAACAACTTCGCATTTGCGATGTTTTGTGCCGTAAAATCGACGATAGCATGCCTGGTTGGGGTCGCTTTTGCGATCCTTTTTCTGCATATCACGACCCGAGTTCTCCCTTCATGAACTTTCGTGACGGCACCTAGTCTCTACGACTAGGTAAGCCTAGCAATTTGCGGAAAAAGAGATTTAAAAGTACAAACTAGCCATCTAACATGTAAATATTGAATAAGTGTTTAAAAATGCCGCTCGGCATATACAATAATAACACTCCCGATCAATAATAACACTCCCAAAACCAGGAATCTCATGAAATCACAAGATACAGAAGTACATAATGTATCAAATCTCCAGAAAGTCTATCAACGAAGAAAAATACAGGGAGTCTGTAACTAAATGAGGAATAAAGAGGGACTTCTAGGTCTGCGGATGCGGCAGATATACCTTTAAGTCTCTGGATCGCCTCGCCTCACTGGAAGTATGGCTGAGAAGTAGAACCTGGATCTGTACATGAAAAACATGTGCAGGAAAGGGCATGTGTACACCACAGTGGTACCCAGTAAATACCAAGCCTAACCTCGGTCGAGTAGTGACGAGGAAGGTCAGAGCCCTACTGGTTATATGTATAAATAAACAAGGTAAAACAGTATGAAATGTGACAGTATAGTTAAAATACTAATAGTTGATTAAGAAGAAATTCACAGAAAGAATATAACTCAGCACACAGAGATAACAACAGGGGATCTCCCAGGATATCATCCCGTAGTACCAAACGTAAATGTGCAGAGGATCTCCCGGGATATCGTCCCGTAGTCCAAATCGTAAATATGTAGAGGATCTCCCAGGATATCATCCCGTAGTACCAAACGTAAATGTGCAGAGGATCTCCCGGGATATCGTCCCGTAGTCCAAATCGTAAATATGTAGAGGATCTCCCAGGATATCATCCCGTAGTCCAAATCATAAATGTGCAGAGGGATCTCCCGGAATACCGATCCGTAGTCCCAAAGTAAACATACTGGGGGATCTCCCGGAATACCGATCCATAGTCCCAAATTAAATACACAACAGTCTCAAGTAAGAATCCTACCATTCTATTCAAGTTCGTATCAGGAAAACAGGAAGTTTCTACTCTAAACATGTTATTACGAAGATCCAAGTAAGCAATTAAAGCAGGTAAGTCAGTTAAGTCACATAAGCATGCTTTTCCTAAGCTAAACAGAAGGTTTCACATACTACTATTATTCAATTAAAGGAGAAACATATTATAAGTATTTAATGAAAATAGAGTTTTTCAACAATTAACACGTGTACACACTCGTCAC